AAGACAGAGCAGAAGGCTCTTTAGGGTTTCTGAGACTATAGATTTTCATGGGAGTAGACAGCTTCATCTGTCTCACAAGAAGTGGGGGGTGGCTTCAAACCACCAACCTTGTGCTTAGCAGCCTAATTCCTAACCCACAGTGACCACCAGGATACCTCTTTGTAAATCATGATAAGTGTCATGTTTCTAAAACTATGTGTTTGTTAATGTTTGAGAATAGTATCATCCTGCAGCTTCACTAGGGTAGTGGCTGAAGAAAGATGCTATTTTCAAATATTTTTAAAATGTGTTTTCTTAACGTTTATCATGATAAAAAGGAGTCATTTTGACCCTGTTGGTTTTACCATTGGACTTCAAAACAAGACTCTTTGATATCTAAAACTAGCATCATTTTCCAGATTTCTTGAAGGAGGTGGTTGATAATACGTGAAATGAATTTAGGATATGTAGAGTAACAGACAGCAGAGTTCCATATATTTTGTTTAATAATTTACTCTCACAACAATTTCTAGGGCTTTATACAAGTAATGGAAATAAATATATGTTGATATCTTATAGAAGATCATTTAATGTAACTGAGCCTGAAATTTAAAAATGTTAACTTTGTTGTTGGCACTCTCTTCTCTATTTAGGTAGAATAACATTTATCAGTGCTAAAGATACATATTTCCTGAGATTTTTTTGGTCTTAATTCATGAGGCTATTGATTTGATAATTAGGAGAAGCTTTAGTTGTGTCATAATATTAAAAAAATCATTGAAGTAAAATTAAGGAAGGATATGCAGTATATCCGTGTTTCAGCGTCTTCCCAGGACATTACTGGAGGACTGCTAGGAGGATACACCTCCATTGTCAATCTGAACCATAAAAAGGTCACTAACCATGATGGGCTTCGGGAACGTATTTTACTAGCATAAAACACATGGTCAAGGTTCTAATAGTGGGGGGGGAAACAGTGGGATCAGAGAAAGGGAGTAATTTTGATAAGCACTGGGTGAGAACAGGACAAGGAAGACTTCATAGCAGACAGGAGCTTGAGGGGAGTATTGGACAATGGTTTGAACTCCACCAGACAGAGAAAGTGACAATAAATAACAGAGAGGAGGAATAAAGTGCATGACTAGCCTCTGGAGCCTGAGTGCACAATGAGCACTGAGATATACTTTGAGAAGGAAATTGGACTAATTATGAGGATGTTTGTAGAAGAATTTGATTTCTGTCTTTTAGGTAATGGGGGACCAAGAGAAGGGTTATACAAAGAAGTTATATAATCTTCTATATTTTATGAGAGTGAATTTTGAGAAATTTCAATTAGAAAAAGAACAGCTCCCTAATAGATGAAAGAATCAAACATGACACAAGACCTGGTAATATTTGATGGGGTCCTTGTTTCCCAGACAAAGGATCTAAGATTAGGTTTATGAAGACAGCTGATGAATATTTTGTAGGCTCTGTTTAATGGATAGAACTCTGGGAAACGCTAATGAAGGCATTAGACAAATAGAGACATCTGGGTCCTGATTGACAGACCCTTTTCCAAGTGGAAGTTTTACCATGGAGCTCACAAAAGATAAAATAAAAGACACCTCCCTTTGTATCAAGCTTTAGGCTGCTACCTGAAAGGTGGATGGATCAAGTCTTCCAAGTGCTCTGTGGACAAGGTGAAGCAGTCTGCTCTGTCAAGACTTACAGCTTTGGAAACTCTATGGAGATCGTCTCTGTCCTTTCGGGATGCCTGGTGTCAGAATCAACTCAAAGGCAATGGGTTTAGTTTGGGTTTATGCAAAAGACAGTGACCTGTGGATGCAACAGGTAAGCACACAACTGCAAACCCAAACGTTGACATTTCGACAAAGACCACAGCCAAGAAAAACCTGGAAGGCAGTTCTATTCTGTCTCATGAGATCACATTGACTTGGACCCTACACATTGACACCCAATAGCAATACACAAATGGCATAATAGTTCATTCTTTTGTTGAAGATTGAGTGACTCGAACTATTTGGGGGATGTACAGGAGGTCTGGTTAATTCGGCTGCGATGGGGATGGTCCTTGAGGAGGCTGTCAGTGGCACCGCTTTGGTAGAATTATTTCTTACCTTGAGTGATGGCTGGAAAATTGTCTGTCACATTATTGTCTTGGTAGTGATTGAACTGAAGCTATTAGTTGGAATAGCAAAGTAATACAATTTTAAATGTTAATTGAATGAATAAAAATGTACTGTTTTTTGCCTTTGTATCTAATAACTTAGACCTTCCTGATAAATGCATTTCAGTCTTTCATTCGAAGCCACTGTATCCTGTAAATGCTATTAAGGTACATCTTAGAAGCTGATTCAGCTTAATTGTTGCCCCGCTATGCCATTCAAATATCTCCAATAGAAAAAACGGCCCCAACATTAAGAAATTGCAAAGTGGTTCATTATATTCTGAGGTTTGAAGATATGTTAATTACATTTTATTGAGAAACAAAAGGTTTCTAGGACAGAACATTAACACTCAGCTAGCCAAGTCAAGAGGAGAAATGTGAGACAAATATGACCCTCATGTGAACAATGAAGTGAAGACGCTGCAAAACTTATATACAACACTTACATACCACTATTACTTTATCTTTCATGAAGAGACCCAGAAGTTGATAATGTACACCGGCATAACTTATAATATAACTTCAAACTTAAAAAAAAACAAGAGACTCCCCATTGAAAGTAGAAATGCATCACCTCTCAGGAATAATGTGATTGATGTTAGTGACTTCTCAGAATCATGCTTGAAAGTCTAGTGAAAGGTACTGGGCCACACTACTGATAGTCCTGCTTTATTGGACACCTTTATGTGTCTATTCAAGATGAAGGTGAAAATTCAGACCTTATACACTTCCAAGCATGGCTAGGACATGAGAATTTGTTTTTATTGAGAACACTGCTAAAATATAGTTATCTAGCCTTAAGTACATATTTCAGCCTCACGATGCTTACATTTCATCATCAATTAAATAATTTAAAGGGAGTTATGAATCCTCTAGAAATTTTATAAGAAGTGAGTATATGTTGGTAGAATTTTCCAGAGAAGGAATTGGAGTCTACTAGCTCTTGATTGCAAATGGGAGAAATACATTTGATTATATTTAGCAGTAAAGGGATGTTGGAAAGAGGGTCGATTTAGAATACAAGTTTGGACTAGCCAGTTCATGCAAGAATCCAAAGAAGCAAGGCATTGCCAAAAAGCAGTGCCTGCTGCCACCACTTGGGAACACCAGCTCTGGTGCTCTGATCTCCATCATTCTTGGACATGAACTGCTATACTATTGTCCTGGTCACTCTGCCACAAATCCTGAGTCTTTGCTGTCCACCCTCAAGAATCAAAGTCCTGGCCAAGTGTCCTAGTTTTGATAACAAGGGCTGGGAGGAGGGAGTATCGCTAGGAGACATGGACCTCTCTCTCCCGCTGAATTTGGGATTCCCTCCAAATTGGAAGGGAACTTTGTCGAAGGGCAGCCAAGCCACACTGTTGACTGCTTTAGCTGTCACCAGATTCTCAAAGGAGTTGTGACACCACCACTTCTGCCAGGAAAGATTATGAATCCCTGCATTAGATTATCTTTAATTACTGCTCTGAAATTACATGATTCTAAATACTAATTTTTCTTCCCTCCATCATCTACCAACTCCAAATTTCTTTAACTAGACACCAGTGCAGTCATAGAATGACTCACATTGCAGGGCCAGCCTTAAAGCAGCCATGGTCATTTCAGTGGGTTGTGTAATTGGGATGGTGGGGCTAATGACAGCGAGTAACAGATGTCTGGGAGTGCTGTCATCCGGCTGAATTTCTGGAAACCCTGCATTTATTCCCAACAAAAGGAATGGACTTTCCCATTGAGCCTTCTGATGCTGCACTATGGGTACATTAAGATGTAATGTAACTTCATGGTTAGGCACACAGACTTTGAATCAAATGAGCATGAAAATGACTTTGGACTCTCTCCTTTATGAGCTGGTCACCAAGGAAAGTTACATGACCTGAAGGAGCCTCTGATTAATAGCCATAATTTTGGTTAATGTTTTGAACACAAAATGATATAGCACAAGGGACTGTAATGTTTTACACTTAGCAAAAGCTCAGGAAGTAATGATGACTGTAATTATAATAGTTAAGAGATTTAAAAACTGTGAATGAAACTCATTTTGTTGTGTCTTCTCTTTCAATGTGTACTTTATTTAACTTGCCATAGTAAATAGGTTACCATGAAATTCCATGGAAAACTTGTATCAAGTTAAAAGTGGGCAGGGAAGAAAAGTTACATATATAGACACTTATAGACTGCCCCTGCCACTTAGAGACACTTGATAATTTGGGGGAGATCCTAATAGGCACTTTTTGAATAAAACTTATTTTTTAATGTTCACATTTCAATTTTAATTCTAGGAAAATGGGGATATTCTCATGGGTTGACATGTGTTCTATGTTAAAACTAATTCTGTTATCCATAAAAATGAACTAAAATAACCATCTAAATACATAACCTTGAAATGCAACTAATCCATTTCCATAGAGTTGGTACAGACAATGTTAAATAGTATCAACAACAATTGAATACAGGATGCCTAGAGAGAGGTTAGCAATTGGATTATTCTTCAAAATGAATTAAACAAATGTAGAGAGTAACAAATAGATGAGGGTGCTTCAACAAGTCTGGGGGTGGTGGGGGTGGGTAGGAATGGAATTAGAAAAGAATGGCATTTTCCACGAACTTTTTGAAGCCCACTTATAAAATTTTTCTGAGCTAGTGATTATCGCTTTAGCTTCTGGTCTCCTGGGCATGTGTGCTTGACCTTCAGTTCACCCTAATGAGGTACCGACAAGCTACTGCACTGCTGTCAAGCACAGACGAGACCCGGTCTGGGCAGCTTTGGTTGAATGGCATGCCTGTTTCCTTTGAGAGATTTATCGATCCTGCTCATCTCTGAATGAGCGTGCTCTCTCCTTCTGTTTTCCAGGTAAATGTGAATGCGGTAAATGCACGTGCTACCCTCCAGGCGATCGCAGGGTGTATGGCAAGACGTGTGAGTGTGATGATCGCCGCTGTGAAGACCTCGATGGTGTGGTCTGTGGAGGTATTTACCACTCCCTCCTCCCTTTCCTATTCTACTTCACTCTCTGCGCTTCCTTTTAAATTTGCTGTTACAAATAAGATTAGACCTCAGTGCGATATGCAATTAGGTTCATAATGACCTTTATTTTCTTAAACTCCTAATTTAGGGTTTGATGGTTGTTATTGTTAAAGCTCTGATGACAAGTACTCTGATTCAGTACTTGGCTACTAACAGAAAGCTTAGTGGTTCAAACCAACTGTACACTGTGCCAGAGAAAGAGGTGGCAGGTGGTCCCCATAAGGCAAATCTATAACACCTGTCTACTCTATCCAATTGTGTGTGTCTATATGATTGGGAATTGATTCAATAACACTAGGTTCTCTTTTTTTGGTTGATTGTGGCTACTGAGTTCTGATGAGTCAATTTCAACTCATGGTGACCCTGTGTGACATATGTATATAAAAGAACAATTTGGGGACCTGTAAGATCTATGAGAATCACCTGGTCACCTTGTTAAAAATGTAGATAATGACTCAGTACACCTGTGGTAGAAATACAATTTATCAAGAGAGAGTTGAACCTGAATGAACCGGTTTGAAACCCGGTTTGAAGTCATGTCCCAAGATGACATCAAGGTCTTTTCGTATTATTTCAGTATTATTTTTAGATTAGTTGACATCTTTTCAATGGTACCCAACAAAACAAAACAAATGCAGTGCCGTCGGGTCGATTCCAATTCATAGTGCCCCCATGGGACATCATAGAACTATCCCTTTGGGTTTCTAGGACTATAAATCTTTATAGTAGAGACAAGTTAGTCTTTTTCTGGGGAGAGTGGCTGGTGGGTTTGGGCTCCTTTTCACTGGTATGAGTCACTTAACATGTCTAAGTAGATTTTCTTAATAGCTTACTGCTGCTGTAGTGTAAATACTCAAAGTGATGGGTTTGAAGAGGAAAAAGTGTTATTCATGAAGGCTGAAAATCCAAATCAGAGTCTCACCTAATCCAAGTCTTTTCTGATCAGTAGCCCGAGGCTCTCAGTGAATCTTTTGTGATACTCACATAGTGTCTGTCTTTTCCTGAGAATGTGTCCCTGTATCTATGCTGGTCTTTTTATAATTCAGAAGTTATTTGAGTTAGGGTCCACCTTACCACGGGTATAATATAATGAACATAATAAAAGTATCCCAATTTCCAACTGGAAGACATTCATAAGTACAGGGGTCGGAATTCAAGATATATTTTGAGGGAACACAATTCAAACCATAACATAGGTTATAGTGTTTGTTTTCTTGTTTGCTACATATATTAACTTCTTTAACTAAAAAAAGTACATATGCCTCTCTGGCATCTAGAAAGTACCATATACCTGGCCCTGCTCTGCTTATCCTTATCGTTTTGTCTCTCACATCCAGTGTTAACTTCACTGCTTTGTTGACTGGGTGACAATGGGAGAGCTAATAAAAACTCGTTACATCTATTTATAAGCCATTCAATTATATTTACTCTCCCTCCAGTGGATTTTCCTTTCTCGCCAAATTTGGGGAGAAAATCAAAGAAAGAAACAAAATCTATAGATTTTCCTGTTAGATGAATACAAGTAGTGCGTGAGTAAATGAGACAGAGGCTTAGGCAGTAACTTTTTTTTTTTAAGACACATTGTCTTGCTCGAAAACAACAAACTTCCAG